GATAATAGTGCCTACTTACTTCATTACATGAGTTTACACATGTCAAAGCATTTAAAGTAATACTCACCAAGTATAGTTTTTTATGTCATTGAGTAATGGGTATATGATATTCCATAGAACACAGTACATTCTCAACACTTGTCAACTTTTCTCACTAACAATTTTCAGTCAATAAGCATTTTGCAATTTTTGTAGTTGTCTTTATCTCCCACTAGTATTAAAGCTCTTTGACAACAGATAATTTTTCTTTTTCACCTCTGAATGTCTTGATTTTCTGAAGTACCTAATATGTGCTCAGTAAGTGCTTATGGGGTTATACTGAAGTACCTAATATGTGCTCAGTAAGTGCTTATGGGGTTATACTGAAGTACCTAATATGTGCTCAGTAAGTGCTTATGGGGTTATACTGAAGTACCTAATATGTGCTCAGTAAGTGCTTATGGGGTTATACTGAAGTACCTAATATGTGCTCAGTAAGTGCTTATGGGGTTATACTGAAGTACCTAATATGTGCTCAGTAAGTGCTTATGGGGTTATACTGAAGTACCTAATATGTGCTCAGTAAGTGCTTATGGGGTTATACTGAAGTACCTAATATGTGCTCAGTAAGTGCTTATGGGGTTATACTGAACTCCCCAGGCAACGTAGGCCGGGAAACCCAAAAGGCCCTTTCCTGAGCATGTCCCCCTGTTTCCAACAGTGCTTAAGTCCTTGGCTTCTTGATGATATCATCCTTCCTCAAGGCCCTAGAGGAAGCAAGTGAGTCTGGGAGCCCAGCTCTTGAGTCCAGCAGACTGTACAGTCTGTCTGGAATATCTCTCTTCCAGATAACAGGTTCCTTTGAAAACTATCCAGAATGGCCTAGAGACCTTTCTTCCCATCTTTAATTATGTTTTTTAAAGATTTTATAAATTTTTAGAGAGAAGGGAAAGGAGGGAGAGAAACATCGATGTACAAGAGATACATCAATCAGTTGCCTCTCACATGCCCCCAACCGGGGACCTGGCCCACAGCCCAGGGACGTGCCCCGACTGTGAATCGAACCAGCCTGTTTCAGTTCACAGGCTGGCACTCAGTCCACTGAGCTACACAAGCCAGGGCTAATTACGTTTTCAAGAGCAGATCTCTGAGCCATGTTTCTGACTTCTTGGCAAGCAAATTAGTTCCTTTTTAATGCAGTATTGTCCTCAGGCGGCAGTGGGTGGAAGGATAGGGATCTGGTGCCCTGAGACCATGGTAGTGGTCTTCTTATAAGTAAGTTGTAATGGGATTAGGTTTTTAGGCATTGAAAGTAGAGATGATGACACAAAGGTTGAGGATCCCAACTCCCTGGGATTTGCTGCTGCTTTGTAAAGATGGCTGCCCTCCTGCTTGAACTTGGACTTCTGCAGAGTCAGAGTGAAGAGCGGGGTGGATCTGCAACCATAGGTGGTGGTTGATGGTCTCCCCAGGGCTCAGTTGTATCAGTGACTGAGCCCTCACTTTGCCTCCTGGGACAAACTTTTTTAAAGTGATTTGATGTGTAATATGAATATTCCAGTATTTTTATTGCTGCACTATTACAAGCCAATGTAATTTTTTAAATTTCACATTTTTTAAACTGTTACTTTAATATCTTGAATTAAATTCACCTTGAATTTCTTGCTATAGTGACATCAGACTGCCAATAGTTCCCCACGTGGTCCATTCTGCCTCATGCCTTTGAACCATTGCTTTGCCTTTGGTAGTTCCAACCCATTCTTCTCCTTTAAGACTTAGATTACCATTTACACCACTATATTAGAATTACCTAGTCATTCATTTCTCAGTCTCAAGCCAGACTATAAACTCCTCACGGGTAGTGTTCTTTTTTTTTAAATTTAACACCCAGTACATAGTAATCAGGCTCCAAATATTTTTTATCAGAACTGAAAATACAGACTTCCAGCCAAGATGGAGGCATAGGTAGATACACTTTGCCTCCTCACACAACCGAAAGAAGGACAACAACAAATTTAAAAAGAAAAAACAACCAGAACTGCCAGGAAATCAAACTGCATGGAAGTCCGAAAACCAAGGAGTTAATGAAGAAACATCCATCTAGACTGGTAGGAGGGGCTGAGACAGGCAGCCAGGACAGAGGGGACTCTCAGCAAGGTGGAAGCGAGAGGACCAGGTCGGTGAGACAGTGGCTGGTGAACTAGGTTGTTATGTGGATAAACTAGGAGGAACAGCTGGTGAGTGAGACCGTGCAATCAAAGGTTCCAGCATGGGCAAAATAAAGCCTCTGGCTGTAAAAATCTTTGAGGGTTGCAAAAGCAGGAGAAACTCCCAGCCTCACAGGAGAGATTATTGGAGAGACCCACAGGGTCCTAGAATGTATACAAACCCACCCACCCAGGAATCAGCACCAGAAGGATGTAATTTTCTTGTGGATAGTGAGAGAAGTGACTGAAAGCCATTCAAGAGCCAAGCCAGTGGCATTGTTCTCTCTCTGACCCCTCCCCCACATACAGTGCCACAACACAGCAATGGGTGGGTTGCCCCACCCTGGCAAATACCTAAGATTCCGCCCTTACAACATAACAGGTGTGCCAAGACAAAAAAAAAATATTGCCCAAATGAAAATAAATCAAGATTCAAAAAAAAAAAAAGAACTAAGCAATGAAGAGATAACCAACCTATCAGATGCAGATTTAAAACACTGGTGATCAGGACGCTCACAGAAATGGTTGAGTATGGTCACAACATAGAGGAAGACGTGAAGGCTATGCAAAGTGAAATAAAGGAAAATATACAGGCAAGGAAAGCAGTACTCAAATCAATGATTTGGAGCAGAAGGAAGAAATAAACATTCAACTGGAACAGAATGAAGAAATAAGAATTTTTTAAAATGAGGAGAGGCTTAGGAACCTCTGGGACAACTTTAAACTTTCCAACATCTGAATCATAGGGGTGCCAGAAAAAGAAGAAGAGGAGGAGCAAGAAATTGAAAACTTATTTGAAAAAATAATGAAGGAGAACTTCCTGAATCTAGCAAAGGAAATAGGCTTCCAGGAAGTCCAGGAAGCTCAGAGAGTCCCAAAGAAGTTGGACCCAAGGAGGAACACACCAAGGCACATCATAATTATATTACTCAAGATTAATGATAAGGAAAGAATCTTGAAAGCAGCAACAGGAAAGGAGATAGTTACCTGCAAAGGAGTTCCCGTTGGACTATCAGCTGATTTCTCAAAAGAGACCTTGTAGGCATAAAAGGCTGGAATGAAGTATTCAAGGTCACGAAAAGTCACAGACATACAACCTAGATTACTCTATTCTGCAAAGCTATCATTTAGAATGGAAGAGCAGATAAAGTACTTCCCAGATAAGGTCAAGTTAAAAGAGTTTATTATCACCAAGCCCTTATTATATGAAATGTTAGAGAGACTTAAGAAAAACAAGACAATCAAAAATGTGAACAGTAAAATGATAACAAACTCACAACTATCAGCAACTTAAAAAAAACAAACTAAGCAAACAACTAGAACAGGAACAGAATCATGGAACTGGAGATCACATGGAGAGTTATCGGGGGGAGGGGATGAGGGAAAAGGTACAGGGATTAAGAAGCATAAATGGTAGGCACAAAATAGACAGGGGGAGGTAAAGAATAATAAGGGAAATGTAGAAGCCAAAGAACTTACATGTATGACCCCTGGACATGAACTACAGAAGTGTGGGGGTGGGATGCTGGTGGGAGTGAGGGTGCAGGGTGAAGGGGAATAAAGGGTAGGAAAAAAATGGGACAACTGTAATAGCATAATCAATAAAGTATACTTAAAAAAAACTGAGAATACAAAGCCCTGGCTGGTGTAGCTCAGTGGATTGAGTGCAGGTCTGCGAACCAGAGGATCGAGGTTTAATTCCCAGTCAGGGCACATGCTTGGGTTGCAAGCCAGTTCCCTGCAGGCCAGTTCCCAGCAGGGGATGCACTAGAGGCAACCATACATTGATGTTTCCTTCTCTCCTTCCCCTCCCCTCTAAAGATAAACAAATAAATATTTTTTTAAAAAACTGAGAATACAAAAAGATCTTAGCAATCTAAAAGGCAGACCATAAAACTTAACAGAGAGATAAAATTTAACAAGGATATACTTGGTTTTAAAACAAAGAAAGAAAACAAGTCTGGTTTTAACTATTGAGTACAAAGTGGGATAAAGATGACTCACCAGCACCTGTAGATCCTGCAAGAGAAGAAGAACTGTGGTTTCAGGTGCCTGTATGCTCCTCATGAGTCAACAGTGGGATGCAACTCCGTGACCTAGTGTCAGAACAGGGAAAGTAATAGTCCTGCTGGCCAGACACTCAGAAAGGTCATGGTCCACACAGTGGGGCCATACCTTAAGAGGAGGTGATGCATGTCCGGAGAAAGGCAGTTAGAATAGTGAGTAAGGTGAGCCCCATGAGATGGTGAGGAGTTGAAGGAAGTAGGGGTGTTTCATCTGGAGAAGATTAAGGGGGCATAATAACTGCATTCAAATGTATACAGGGGTCACTGGGAGCCTTAGCATGCAGAATCAGGCCAGTAGATCTACTAACCATGGAACAGTCTGTCATGTGAGCTCCAGGTCACCCATAGGGTTTAACCAAGAGCCTCTGAGAAGAGGTACTGTAGAGGGAATCGGTGCCCCTGAAGGCAATTTGGACTGGGATGTCCTTTCATCCTGCTCAGCTTTGAGACGTGGTGATTTAAGAGATCATAGATATTGAATATTGGGGGTAGACACAAGAAAAACATATTCTGATAGGGATGCCTTTTGTCCCCCTAGGGGAAAATTATGAGTTACCTAGGAAATTGCTTCTGGACCAGAAATCTGAATCCTAGTGAGCCACTCATTATATGTGTGAAATGTACTTAGAAAAGATATCTAACAGTCCTACCTAGTGTAACTACATCCTGCATTTTCCCAAGTCCTTTCGTGGAACTTCCAATGAAATGATTAGCTTTGGGTTTTTTTGTTTGTTTGTTTGCTTTTTAGTTCCAGAGCATCTTGGCTTGTGGGAGGAAGTCGGAAAGATCATCTCAGAGTCCGAGCTAATAAGGGGATTCCCCTACACCTTCACAGTGCCTGGCCTGCCCCAGTACCTCCAGAGCCTCACCAAGCTGGCCATTGCGGCAGTGTGGGCAGTGGCAGTGCAGGCTGGAGAGCAGACGACGGATGTTCCCATCTCCTTCTCTCAGCTGCTAGCGTCTTCCTTCCCTGAAGTGCGCCTGCTGACACTGGAAGCCCTGTTGGAAAGGTTTTCAGCAGCAGCCTCTGAATTAGGGAAGAAGAAATTGCCATCTTTGCTGTGGAATATGGGAGGGACGTTCTTAATGTTGGCTGTGAAGGAAACTCACCCAGAATGCTCCTGCAAGGTAAAGTGTCTGGTGTACTGACCGCCCCTTTCCACCCCCCACACTCTTGGGTGAGCCCACCAGTATGACCAGCTCATGAAGGCAGAGTTGGGTTTGACTTCTCCAGGAGCAATAGGAGGGAGACTCAGCATCAGGAGGGTGAGGACTCTTTATGGGGCTTGGCGTGGCTTCGTGTATAGATGGGCACTACGAAAAGTGTTCGATGATGATGGTGTTGGTGACAGGAAATAACCGAAGGCAGACTGAGAGTAAGCCACCGAGTGCTCTGGGAAAACAGCATTGACAGTTGGCTGTAGAACGTGTCAGAGGGTAGTCTTTGTGGATGTGGCTGTTTGGGGGCAGATAGGCTCCTGGAAAGCATAATCGAAAGGAAGGGACGCTGACTTCGGAATCTGGTCCTCTAGACTGATCCCAGATCACCAGGGCCCCTCGGGTATGTCACTGCCACACCCTGTCTTGGCATCCCAAAGATACTAAGAGGGAAACAAGAAGTCATTGGGAGTTTTTTGAAAGATAGATCCCCCTTATATCATTATCAAGTGATTATCATTTAGCTTCTGGAGACTTTTTCTTGAGGTGATTTTCTTTTTCTTTTCCTTTTTTCTTTTTTTCACGGATCTGGCTTACACAGATACTGAAAATTCTCCACTGCATGGACCCCAGTGAGTGGCTTCCCCAGACAGAATGCTGTATCCATCTAACCCCAGAGGAGTTCTTGAATTGGACAATGGATATTGCTTCCAATGAAAGGTTTGCCCCCAATGATTGCTGTGCAAACTCAGATCTTCCTGTGGGCCTATTGGTCAGATATAGTATGAACTTGAGCACAGTCCTGGCCTAAGGACTCAGGCCCTGTATTTCTTTCCAAATCTCCACTTAGGAGCATGTTCTAAGCTCAAGCAATAGAATGATGTCTGAGTAGCACATTGATAACCAAAACGTACTCACTTCTGGAGGTGTTTGGATAGCAGTGAGGTGGAGATGTCCAGCATTCACATCCGCATGGATTACAGACCATCTGCAAAACCATCTCCATACAAAGTATATCTGATTTTATTTTGGGGGTGTTTCTGGCTTTTTCTAGGTCTGAAATTCAAAGTGTAGCTCTGAGACTCGCCTCCAGAGTGATTGTCCACCACATGCAGATGACTGACGAGGTAAGGCCAATTCTGCCCTGGTTCCGGGCTCTAGGTTTTTGTGCTCTTTTTTTACCTGGAAGGTTTCAGTAGGCAGAATCATGGCATGCGTGTATAACCTCTACAAAAATATTGTTCATATTGATGTTTCACGATGGATAAAAGTTGTAAAGAAAATTTTGAGCACCGCCTTTGATATTTCTCTTGTCCTGGGCACATTTGCTTAGAGGCCATAACAATAACACAGCTCCCTCCCCACTAACACACACACACACACACACACACACACACACACCCCTTGTGTTTTCTTATTTTCCTAGCTTGACTCTTTATTTAAAGAGGGAGTGAACAAGTCGTTTCCAAGGATGGCAAGTCACTAGGACTGCATCCTAGCCACTGAGTATGAAAGTGTGTCACTCTGGCTTGACCGTTCCCTCAGAACACAGTCCAGCTGGCTCTGCAGGGAGGCAGGTGTGCCCCACCTGTCTCATGTATCCTTTGGGGGGGAGGTGGAACTGTGTAATCAAACGACCTTCCTGGGAAGAAGCCTTCAGACTAATACAGGCATACTGAGGGGCATATGAGGACAATGCTGCCACCACAGAAGGCTTAAAAGCAGAAGGCAGGCAGGACTCCAGGAAAATCACCCGAGGGTCTTGGTTACACATCACCACACTGTGATGGTGTCGGCATAACGTTGCGAATTCTGATTCCTAACAACAGCACCGAGAGAGGTCCTGGAGATACAAAGATGAAGAGAGACTGGAGGGACAGTCTAGTGAGAGGAAAGGACATGACATTAACTGCTCTAGTTAGGACAGGGCTCTGGGAGTCCCCAGGAGGGAGGGAGTGTTTGGGGAGCTGAGGGAGACTTCACAGCGGAGATTGTGAAGTTCAGAGAGCTTGGGGGTGGGGAGAAAACCAGAGGGGAGAATTAAGCAGATACACAGTTTCCTACAGTCAGTCATTCAAAGGCAGGCCAGGGGGCCAAAGCCAGGGGATCACTGGGAGATATAAAAAGCAAAAAAAAAAGGGGGGAGGGAGGGGATGGGAGGGATGTTTGTAGGAAGGGAGAGAATTTGCTTTAAAAATTACAGCCCAGAGGGGAAAAAAACAAGCTCTAAGAAAGTAGTCATCCGGCAGCCTGTTCTCTGCCAAAAGACACTGTTCCCATCCAAAGCCATTTTTAACCATTTGTCACATGCATGTTAACGACCATGCGTGGTACTCAAATAAACTGATATTTGATAAATGTTGGGAGTTTTCCAGGGAGAGAAATATTAACAGAACTGCAGAGAAACACATAAAAGAAGTTCCTGGGAAAACCTGGGTTTCTTTGTGCAGTGCATTGGGGATCAGAGTCTTCCTCGAGGTTTGAGTTGCCCCCCAGTTTAGTTCCGTAGGTAATCAGGGAGCCAGTAGTCTCATGTTGAAAACTTAAAGAGTCTTGGTTGATAGGGAAATAAAGTACATTTGGAACAATAACTCCCTTTTAGGAAAAGTTTAAAAAGGTGAAGGTAGAAACAACTCAAATGTCCATCAACTGCTGAGTGGGCAAACAAAATATGGCATATCTATGCAGTGGAATATTATTCAGCCATTAAAAAGTTATGGAGTCCTGATACATCCTCCTGGGTGGATGAACCTTAAAAGAACATGGTAAGTAAAAGAAGCCAGTCACAAAAGACCACATCTTGTATGATTCAATTTATATGAAATGCCCCAAAACGGCAAATCCATGGAGACAGTAGATTACCAGTTTAGGGCCAGGGGAGGGGGCAGATGACAGGGTAGAGAGTGGTAACCAAAGAGTATAAAGATTTCTCTTTTTGATGATGAAAATATTCCAAAATTGATTGTGGTGATGGTTACACATATGTGTAAATGTCTTAAAAACCATTCATTGTTTATGTACTTTAATATATGAGTTACATGGTATGTGAATTATATCTCAATAAAGCTGTTACTATTTAAAAAAACAGGAATTTGTTTAAATAATAATGTTAGTTAGGATGCTGCCTTAAATGTTGTAAGAGAAACTCATAAATATAGAGGTGTAAACCACGTAGAAGCAGTCCAAAGCGGGTAGGGTGTCTTCATAGTGTTGGATTCCCCAGGCCCTTGGCCTTGATGTCCTGCTGTCCCCAACATGGTCCCAGATGGTCACTCCAGCTCCCATTGTCTTGTCCTATTCAGCTAGCAGGAAGGAGAAACCCAGGAAGTGTAGGTCACACCTATTTCCTAAGGGTTGACCTGAAAGTGCATGGATACCACTATCCCATTGGTCAGAACTTGATCACATTTCTCCCAAATTTAAGGGAGTCTAGGAAATGCAGCCTTTAGCTGGGTGTCCAGCTAAATCTGTTGCCCAGCCAAAAAATCTGTTGTTCTATTATTATTAAAAACAGAAGAAGTATCTGGTTATTAGAGATAAGTATTATTTGTTGCCACAGTCTTTCTCCAAGTTTTGTTTTTACTGACACTATCGAATACACCAGTTTTCTGATAACCTGATTTGCATCAGAAAAGACTCAAGGAACTGGATGGCCAGTTAGGGTGACTCTGTATTACTGAAGCACAAGTCAGATTTTCTTCCCTGGGCTTGGTTATTTCTCCCTAGTTGGGATGGAAAAACAACAGAAAAACTTTTCTTCCCACTGTGGCAAGAGGTAATTTGCAGATGCAGTTTGGGGTATGTAGCTCATCCCTAATTCATGATTGCATCTTCTGAACTGCTATACATTTTGTGCTTTCAGACCAGGGACTCTGTCGCCCCCAAACTGAAGCAGTGGGTTCAGCTGGTCGTCTCGTCTTGCGGAGACCACCTTCCCACAGAGTCCAGGCTGGCGGCCGCCGAAGTCCTCACCAGTGCCACACCACTGTTCCTCACCAACCCCCATCCCCTTCTCGGTAAGTGCAGTCGCACCCAGTGTGCTCGCAGTACGCACGGATGCTCCTGGATACTCCGGGGTAAAAGGGAAGGGAAGGTGAAGAATGGCGGTGCGCTACTGCTTTACGCCTCCCGGATGCATCCCACCCTCGCAGTTCCTGCTCTGATCATTCTTCACCAGCAGCCTCGTAAGTGGCCTCTTTTCTTTCTGTCTCGTCCCCCAAACCTTTCTCCTTATGCTTCCAGAAGCTTTTGTGCTGTTTCTGAAATACAAGTCTGATTTCACTCCACTGCTTAAAGCCTGTACGTGGGTTCCCTTTTCCTTCAGGATAAAGTCGATATGCCCTTTAACAGGGGCTGTAAGGCTCTTCCTGTTCTGTGCCCTGACTACCACCCCCCACACACACTTCTCATCAGCCAACACGGCCACTATGACTCATCAGTAGGGAACGGTTCTAGAAACAAATTGCTGCTTGACTGACTTCTATTTGTCTTTCGAGACTAGGCCTAACCGTCACCTCTTCCAGGAAGCCTGTGGCGATGATCTTGGTAAGAAATGAATGGGTCAGTGTGAAGCTGTAGCACTGAGGAAAAAGAAAGGACAAGATGGAAAGGACTTAGGAGGTTGAACCATGACTTGGTGTGGAGGTTCGTGTAAAGGGAAATTCACGGATGACATCCAGGCTTCTGGCTTAAGTGACGGGAAGGGCTGCTGGTATCTTTCATCGAACTTAATTTTAAGTTGAAGGCATTGCTGGGACAGAAACGTGGAGAAATTTTGAAATTACATGGGCAGGCAGAGCTTGGCTGGCTTCCGGCCACATTCTCCACCTTCAGGTCTCTTTCCTCACTGCCACCCCCTGCCCGTCAAGAGTAATAATTGGGAAAGAGCATCATGTCATTGGTATTTAAGAAAAACAAGCTTTAGGAAATCCTAAGGAATTCAAAAGCATAGGGGGTTTTGTTTTGTTCTATTTTTTAAAAAATTTTGTAAATTGTGGTATTTTGTTTTATTTGTTTTTGAGCCTAGGGTTTGATAAAAGAATAACCCAGAACCAAAAGCCATGCCGCGATTCTGCCCCATCTGTTTCTGTTCACCTCTTCCATGCCCAGCCTGGAGAATAAACCACAGTCCCTGGGTGCCAGGAGCTTCCAATGTAGCTGCAGAGAGGGGATCTACAGGATAAAGGAGAGAATTGCTTTTTTCTTAGATGGTGAGATTCAGATTTGAAGTGTTCTTGGAGTTCAGACCAGTGAAGTACCTCACATCCCTGGAACTCTGTGAGAAACAAAGTTGTCTCTCTTAATCCTTTCTTCTAAGTGACTCTGAGGCATTTTTCTTACATCCAACGAGGACTGAAAGGGGACCTTCTATGACTGTGATTTAATCATTCGATTCAGAGGAATAAGAACAAAGGTTTATAAACTTTGGTGAAGTTTCTACCCTGAGAGTAGTATTTTGCAGCACATTTTCTGGTTGACTTTGGTCACTCTAACCCTAGCTCCTATCACACAAAAATGTGTGTGGAATTCCTGAGTGAAACTGGGCAAAAGCCATTGGTTCATAATGACCAGCACTGGTTATAGCACTGTAAGCCATGAGGAAGGAGGTCAGCGGGGGCTGGTGACCTACAAGAACTTGAAAAATAGGTACAGAGCTTAGAAACAAAGGACATGAAAGTGTGTGGAAAGTCAAGGACAGAACCAAGTCATTTAAGGACAAAGAAAAATTGAAATGGCCTAATGAGGGAGAATTAAGGTTTTTGAGGGCATAACTGACCATGTTAAAGAGGAACATATTAAACCCTACAGAACATTAAAATGGACAGATTCCAAAAGACTGAGTAAAACATAAAGCCAGATTTATAACAGAAAGGAAAGATCAAAACCACAGAGGGAGCCACACGATTCTTGGTATGAATGAAGAAGCGTCAGCGACTCTGATACCAGGTTCTCCGTGGACACATCAGGGAAAGGATAGGCTAAGAAGAGCTCTTAGGACAGGTCTGGTCCTCCACTGAAGACCAGGGATGCATGGTGATGCTCCACAAGCCTCGGCCCACCCCCGTGTGCAACATGTACCCTTTCTATGAGGCCCTGCCCACCCACACCTCCCTCATGAAGTCTGCCTTGGTTACACCAGTCCACTGTGATGGTTCCCTTTAGTGAGTAACAGCTACACATTTCCAAACCTAACTTCTCATTGCCTTGTGTTCTTTGGCTTAATGTTCCCTTGAGTTGCTCAGAGGTAGAGACCATCTTTTCCCTTTCCACCCTCCACAGCACCTCGCGCAGGGACTAGACAGAGTCCCTGCCCAGGGGTAATGGCGGTCAGGTCATGGGCGCCCCACAGACATGATATGGGCTAGTGCCTTTGTCCTGGTTTCTTGCCCTTTTTCGATTCTCCCCCCGAAGCATAATCTTGACTGAAACTTTGCTTTCAGAATTTATAGGCTCAAAACAGTCACTGATATCAACGACGGGCTGGTTTCCCCAAAGCGGTCTTGATGCATAGTGTGTCGTTCCTGAGAACTGTGAGTCACTGTGGACAGCCAGGCCCAGCGCCTGAGTCAGCCAGGCCACACCTTCTGGGGGGCCTCGTCTGGGGCTAGTTGACTCCAGAAACCTTCAGCCATCCAAAAAAAGAGAGAGAGGAGACACTTCCACACCTCCCCCCTTACGGCCCTGTCTCTATCCCAACGTTTATCTGACTCTCAGACTTTTCTTTCCTATAACGCCAGGAAAAAAGGAACGCCTGTTCTCATTTAAGTACTGCTCTCCGTCCTGGACTTCGAGTGGGATTTGTACCTGCGTGTAAATCGCATCCTACGTAACTCGAATTCCTTTCTGTCTTCTTAGGACTGCAGGATACACTTGCCCTCTGGAGGTGCGTGCTCACCCTCCTGCAGAGTGAAGAGCAAGCCGTCAGAGACGCGGCCACGGAAACGGTGACGACCGCCATGTCACAAGAAAACACCTGCTCGTCAGCAGGTACCTCTTCTGTTTCTGCAGTGCTTTCTCTCTGTCACGCAGGGTTGATCACGCTTTTTCAGTAAAGGGCCGGAGAGTGAACATTTTAGGCTTTGTTGGCCGTTCATTCAGTCTCCCTCACAACTCTGCCGATTTAATGGTAAAGCAGCCTTAAACAATAGGTAAAAAAGTGGGTGTGACTGTTCCAATAAAACTTTATTTACAAAAACAGGTGGCTGCTGAGAGTTGATCTTCTAGCCATAGTTTGCTGACCCTCGCTCTAGGATACCATGGAGAAAAATTATTTTCAAAGGTAGAAATCTAATACACAGTGCCTTTTGTTACATCCTCCTCTCTAAATAAGGTCAAGTCTTGGGTATCTGTGTGGTTACATAACCTGGGAATCACAGATGCATCGTTGTGTTCCTCCGTGAGTTTTACACACTACAGGAACAGATGAGTGTGAGTCTAGAGTGTCCTTTTGTGCTTGGCTCCTCGTTTGGTGGTAATGTTAACCCAGGAGGTAAGAGGGGAGCAGCCTAGGAGAGTAGTTCAAGTTCATAGGCACTCAGTTCATACTATGAGCTGGGCCCTGGTCATCTGTTTGCAATGGCAAATGCTATGGAAGCCAAGGGAACTATTGGCTATGGGTGGAAATGCGGCTGCTGGATAGAAGGGACAGGAAGCAGGTGGAGTAGAAGGTCACGCCTCTAGACAAATGGCCATGTGGGAGGGTGACCTCTCTGGTGGACTGGGATTCCCTGCACTTGGGCCTGAGTTTCAGAAAACATCTGCCATCCCAGAGAGAAGCAGGCACACCAGTTTGAGGCAAGGGAGTCACAGGCTGAGCAAAGAAGATTGCCTCAGTGGACAGCAAAATGGAAGGGAACTAGCCAGACAGCATTTGTAAGCAGTTCAGGGCCGCTCGTCCCCATGGTTAGGGCTGCAGTTCCAGGAAGCTTCCCTTGGAACGCGTGAATTCCCGGTACCGTTGTAATGGTCTGGGTACTTTTCTCTGCAGATGTGGCAAAAGCTAGTTTTTTAATAATCTCGGGGATACTCTAGAGCAGATCCAGCCAGAATCAGCTGTGCCCCTCTGTGGGAAAACCTTCAGGTTTGTGCTGCTGGTGATGTGCACGTGGCCTTCCCCCCTCCCCCATCCCAGCCTGTCCAAGCTCCTAGGGGTCTAAAGTTCCGCCATTGTTGATTCAGTCCTTTTCTTCCAAACTGTGTGTTTTCCTTAGCAGGAGACTCAGAGCACCCAGTGAGTATTCAGTAAATATTCAGTGGAGCATAATACTAGGTTTGTCTAGGACCCTCTCCACCAAATCTGGGAAAGATCCTTTCACGGTGGAATTCTTAGGTGGACGTCTTGCCTCCTAATCTTTATAGTTTCCGCCCTCCTACTATTACTTCTTTCAGAGTTTTTCCAAACTTATTTATAGTAAAACTATACTATGTTCTCCCTCCTAATTTGAATTTTTTCTCAAGAAACAGAAATCAGTAGTTGTAAATGGAGTGCCTTTTGCATGTGAAATTCCCTAGGTGGAAGCCTCTGCTTAATAAATGTAAAAGGCTCGTTGTCTGTCTTTCTGTTCTTTATCTTGGTCTGTAAAGAAGGGTCTGAGGTGTGAAAAGACCAGAAATCTGTGACAGCTCAATGTGGAATTGTGCGTTACCCGGGGACAGAGTCAGTACTGGAGGGGTGAAAAGCCATATAGGAAGTTACAGGAGTAACTGACAACACTGAACTGTTATCTGGAGATTAAAATCAATGTTAGGTTTTCTGAAGTTGAGGACTATACTGTGGTTTTGTAAGAGAATGTTATTGTTCTTAGGAAATCTACAACTGAAATAGTACACGAGGCACAAAACCTGGAACTTACTCTCAATGGTTCAGAAAAAATAAACTATATGTGCATATAAGCAGTAAACACAGATAGGGAATGTCCATAGTTGTATCTTTCCTGTGTGTGTGAAATGATCCCAAAATGAAATTTTGAATCCAGTTCCACAACTGAAAATGACCCACACGGTACATGCTGGTCGATCATCTGACTGGTTCCTCAACAGTGCAGCCCCCAGTGTGACTCCCATGATTTCCCCCTAAACTGTATAAAAACATTGTCCGCCTCTCTTTTTTAAAACACATTTTGAATGAATTTTTGCATCCCAAAAAATCAAACTCAAGCCAAATTCTTCCAATTCAGAGATCTCAGCAACATAATGTCACTTCTGGGGGCACACCCAGCACTCCCCTGGTGGTCTCTGCGCTGACAGAACCTCCGACATAGACGTGTCTGCTCAGACTAAGAAGTGGCTGAGGGCAGAGGGTCGCGCCCCATTTTTCACCTTAGTCGGACGTTTAGCCAGCTGATTTATCAGAACAATATTGTCTTATTTTGACATCTCCCTAGGGCCTCAGCAGCTGGTGGCAACTCTGCACACCCCTTCGGGGATTTTGTAGGACTCACTACTGATGGTTTGCTCTTCAAGTTCCAAGTTAGTCATCACTATTAAATCTCGAGTTCCTTGAAAATATACATCATTCATTTTTGTCCCCAGATCAGTGGTTTAATAAATGTCACAGTAAGATAATATTGAGTTATGTTAGTATTTGAAATCTTCTTTGAAAATTACTCTTAAATATTGTTTGAAAGAAATTAAATTAATGCTTATTTTTCCTGGTGAGAAGAAAATAAAACATGAAGATTCCCTTCCTCTGAGATCTCAGCCCGTGAACGAGGGCTGGGTGAGGACCAGAGGAGCCGTGCGGCAGTCGGTGGGGTACGGGGAGGTGCGGGGAATTGCAGGTGCGTATGGGCTCTTGGGGGCTCTGCAGAGTAGAGCTGGCCCAAGGAAGGGCCGCAGATGAGAGCATTCGACACTGAAGGAAAAGGCAGAACCAAAACCTGGAATTGGGGGGAACTTGGGAGCTGATGGGGCAGCAGCGTGTGGACTGGTATGGCCAGAACACGGCTGAGGCCCGGGGAGTAGAGAAGGAAATTAGGCTAGAAAGGCAGGGGCACCCACACCAGGGATGACTTTCGGTGCCAAGCCAAGGACCTCCTCCAGGTGAAGCAAGGTTGGAGAGGGTTTTAAATGGGAGTAATGTTGCCAGAACCATGTGTGTTTGGGAGGGATCAGGGCTGGTAAGTGAGGGAAATTTCAAGGCATGAACTGCCATCCGTGGTGCTGGGGGTGCACTCAACAAGATTCGGGGGCTGGTGCTGGTGGGAGGCTGGCGACGAAGGGAAGTGAAGATGACTTCAAGGTAGCTTACCTGCAAGATATCCATGGGAAAACACCAAGCCGTGCCTCTGCCACTGATGGAGCAGTGGGCTGTGGCGTTCCAGGAAGTGAAACTACCCAGAATCAGGAAAGGCACTTAGAGGCCGAAAGGCACTGTGATCTGGGACAGATTAGTCCTCAGGCCTTGGAGAGATCAGCTGTGGAAACAGAGCAGAGGGGGACCTTTATCTGCGGTAGGAACAGAAGGAACTGTCCGGCTTTGCCCTGCCCTCCCAGCACACGGCGCAGTTATCATGGGAGCCCAGCATAGTTATTGGTCCCGCGGAGCACTGGGAAGAAACTATGGAAAAAGAGGCAAATGTTAACCAGGTGTTTATCTCCCCAGCATGTTGCCTTGAACACAGCTGGCTTTAGGTGTAGATTTGTGGAGTGAATTGGTCGATGATTCTCGAAGGCCCAGAGAAAATAGCTCCATGTTTACATAGCCTTCATGAGGTTGGTGGTGGTTCAGTTTTTTAACAAAGATTTATTTACTTATTTATTTTTAGAGAGAGGGGAAAAGAAGGAGAAAGAGAGGGAGAGAAACATCAATGTGTGGTTGCCTCTCACATACCCCCTACTGAGGACCTGGCCCACTACCTAGGCATGTGCCCTGACTGGGAACAGAACTGGCGACCCTTTGGTTTGTAGCCTGTGCTCAATCCACTGAGCTACACCCTGGCTGTTGTTCACTTTAAAAAAATTTTTTTTTTTCTAGAGAGAGGGAAAGGGAGGGAGAAAGACAGGGAAATGTCAGTGTGCTAGAGAAACATCCATCAGTTGCTTTCTGCACGTCCCCAGCTGGGGACTAGGCCTGCAACCCAGGCATGTGCCCTGTAGGGAATCAAACTGGTAACCTTCTGATATGTGGGACGATGCCCAACCCACCCAGCCACACCAGTGAGGAAGGGCTTGTGGTTCACTCTTTTTGCCTGCTGTTTTCTCCTGCTGTCCACATGGTCACCTGGAAGGTGAAACTCACAGCCTATCGGTAACATTCTGACCACCCCCCAAGGCCCCCTTCTCTTTGGAAGAAGGGCTTAAGGAAGGTGCAGCAGAGTAACCCTCTCCACCCCTTACCTCCTCGCTTTCCTGTGCCCGTACCACTAAGAACAGAAGAAATGGCATTTCTAGCACTCGAGTAGGGTATTGAAATTTGCAGCTAGTTAACCAAATGTTTGGGCAGCATTCCAGGAAAGGTCCCATCTTTCTCCCTTCCCTGCTCTGACTTGACTTCAAGCCTGGAAGTATTCTAGAAAAAGCTCTAGTTTCAACAACAGGAGACAGTCAAGGCCATTGACTCTGTGGGCCCCCCTTCCCAGGCTCCTGAAAGCAGCTCACTCATGCCTGTCTTACGCACTAGATCAGGGTTTCACATCAGGTTCCATTTGAGCGGGACTTCCATATGAGGGGAAACAGCCTGGACAACATTTAAGTTTTAATCACCAAGTTCGAGTGATTCTCAAGTTAGGCAGACCGAGTTCTGGGCAGAAGCAGCATGCTGCTTTTGGACGAAGAGAGGATGAAAAGAAAAAACATTTTAAAAATCTCTAGAAAGCCCTGGCTGGTATAGCTCAGTGGACTCTAGAGAGGTACAAAATGGCCAGAATCCAGCAATTTGGGGTTTATTCCCTGGCCTTCCCCACCAGTAAGCATGTTTGAGCCCCTGGTGACCAGGGCAGGTTTTTGGCGGGTCTAACATGCTGTGCTGCAGAGTCAAACCTACGCAC